TAGAGATATTTTTAAATGACTCAAATCTCTGCTTTCTTGAGAGAAGAAAGTAATATTTTCAATATTTTTTCAAATGAGATTGTAGAACTGCGACTATGCTTTTGGCCTTTTTATTTTTAGAGCTTTCGTAAAACACTTTCAAGAAAGAATCAGCTACATTACAAGTACTTTTCTACACTGAATTTCGGCGATATCTCACTTGTTTAACAGACAGTGCATGCGAAGCGTGATAAGTCTTTAGTGTTGATATTATATCAATAAAATATGGCGAATTTCACGTGTACGAGTGGCACTGAAAGGTTCCAGTCGGACTTCTCCAAATTTGACCAAATAACCAAATATAAAAATATTTGGGGAATGGCGTTTTGGTTGGACCGAGAACTTTTCAGAATTTTCACGTACAATAGTCGTTAGATTATCATGTAGCACCAGTTTTCCAGTAGGAATATCAAGAAATTTAAGACATTGCCTAGATTGACTTCAAAATTTGACTGGTAGCATTGCATTCACATATGGTTCCATTATTCTCAGTTATAAACACACTTTTAAGAAAACTAAAATTGGATGTTGAAAATGTTGTATGCATGCAATTATTCACACAGAAGGAGAAAGATTATTTTATTTTGGTTTTTATTCTATGTTAAGACCAGTATCTTCAGATTAATAAACAAACATCTGTATTAAATAAAGCAAAATTCAATCCTTAATAAATATGCTAAAGTTTCTGCATTTATTCTGGTTATTTCGTGCATATTCTTGAGGGCATTGAAAAGGATCTAAAATTGTTCATAATTCTGTTGGCAGTTGTTTAAGTCAAGCCGAAATTATCAACAATGGCTGGTTAAGAAAGAAGGTTTTTTTCTCTCTCAGAAGTGCCTTGTTTGCTTTCTTTGAAGAGAACATTAGATCTCTTAATATTTTCACAACTGCAGCGTGTTCATCACACACGGGGCACATTTGACATCATAATATTTTTATGCAGCTGCTTTTAATAAGTGTGGTATTTATTACAGCCTGCAAGGCAAACAACAAATTCGAGCTCTAATAATGCCAAAGAACAAACTGATGTATCGAATATTAATTATATTCTATAATCCCAGTATTTGTCTATTGCTGTCCATACAGCCATTTAATTATGGGTTGCAAGAAAATGGTAAAATAACTCAAATTATTCTCTGCTAATGGATTTAATTAATGATATGTGTTTTGCGTGAGTGTGTGTATTCTTTCTTTAATTGCAGCATTACTCTGACTTACCATAGAGTTATTGGAAATTAAACTAATATAGCAACAGCTGGTACTTGTGAGTATCGCTTCAGGGTTAAGGTTTACATTACTGGCAAATAGATAATCGATTCTACTCAGTTTCTCTATCAGATGCACATGCTAACACAGCTAAATCAACAAGAAGGGCAGTTATGATATCATACCATGAAACTATCTCTTTATTCCACATGGTTAAATCAACAACAGTTACACTTGTGATTAGGCCATTGGACTAGCGGCAAAGATCTTATGATTATATTTAAGGCTAGTAAGATCCGTTATAATACACTAGCACAGAATTGAAACATGTTAAATGTGAATTAGTTTTAAAAAAAGACAAAAAAACTTATGTGCGTAATTCTTATTTCCGCTTAATTCGTAGGTAATGATCTATTAATATTAAACGATTAAATAAAACAAAAGTGATAATTATGACCGAATTTAGGTAAACATTTAATTACACAAATCTTCTTTGTATGAATAATTAGTCAAATTTATAAAGTTTCAAAGAAACAATTCTCTTGTCAAGCAACTTATGATATTATTGGCAAGTTCAAGTTTTATACAATTATGTCCTCAACTAATTCTTACCAAACAGAGATTAGTTCCTTCCATATCCTGAATCGAGTCGTGCTTGGACCTTTAATTTTGATGTTTCATTAGATGACTAAATAAAAGGTAAAGTTTATAGTCGTTCTTTTAAACTAAACATGAAAAATACATTCAAATTGATGCCTGTGTGACACTGGGTTGTCGGCCCGTGGTCAACTCCCAATCGTGACGCGAAGCTGTAATGTTTCTTCCACCGGCGTTTTGGGGTTGACACTTAGTCGCTGCCACCAGCCTGTGTCCCGGTCGATCAGTGGTCGTAACCGTTTCGATACCAGCTCCGTCGTTCCCAGCTCACTTCCTACGTCTGGTTACCGAAGTAACTGCTTCGATCTCAAGTCTAACCTACCCACGTTGTGATTTTGATCGTAGGTAGACGACATCAATCAGGCACCGGGCCGTAGTGTAAGTTGAGGTGATATCGCACAAGCGTAAAGAAAAAGAAGAAAATAAAAGAAAAAAATAAAAGAAAGAAATAACAAATTCTTCATCCGTCTGTTATATACAGGAGTGTATTTTCCTACCAGCTCGTTTTCTACGGATTGCGACACATCTACGTTTCTTAAGCAAGTTTTGGCTTCGTTCGTCAGTATAACTTTCTATTGGTAGAAGTCGGAGGTTGTGGAATCTCTCGGTCAGCTTCTGCGAGGCAACACTCTGGTTCCCGCTACCCAAACTAACTAACTAACTGTACTGTCGAACGGCCTGAGGACGTTCGTTTATATGGGTACCGACCAAAACCCGGTGCGGCCCACACGTGGCCTGGCGTTCTCGGTAAATCTCGATTCCCAACAAGAAATCTCTTTGTTGTCAGGCCAGGAAAATTGATTACTTCCCATTTTTGGAAAATTAATCACTTTCCATTTTTTGTTGGTGTGGGGGGTCTCCCTCGTCCGTGAGGGGAGGTCAGAGGAGAGCTACCCTCCTAAACACTTCCTCTCTCACATTGATTTCTCATACCAATCCGTTCGGTGGGCATTAATAACTTCTCCGTTCTTCTCATCCATTCACCTCCACCTATCACCATTGCTACCTCTCGACCAATGGCATCCCGGCCGTTTGGGTGTGGCTAAGCTGGCCTTCTTAAAATTATAATCCAGAATTTTTGTTTACAAAATTCTCCTTTTTCCCATCGGCCAAAATTTTACGAATTCCACGCTGCCACTTAAAATCTATCAGATCTTTTGGTCACTCAGAATCCACTTAGCCAGCACTCTTTACCAATTCCATCAATCACTGTCAAAGTTTGCCATCTGGTCCCTCCATGAAGTTAGCTTTTACTGGAACCCTTGGCTTCTTGACAAATTAAATTCTTTATCTCACCAAATCACAATTCTTACATTCCTTTCTTATGCCCAAAATTTTATAATCACCATATTGCTACTCAACGTCTCGGCGTCTGAAAGCGACACTTTGGTAAAGTAAATAATAACAATCATCACCACCCCGTATCTGGATAAATTTTTCTCTCATGCCAAAATTCCCACAAATTCCATATGGCTTTTGCCTTGCCGGCACTCAAAAAAAATGATATCTTGGAAAGATAATTAATATTGATTCTGCCTGGAAAAAACGTCACTATTTACACTGTTTGGATTATTGTCTTCATCTTTATTGTCATATTCACGACGAACCCGTTATTTAATTTACGTGGGTAGATTGTTCTAGTTCCACTTGTCATGCCTTTTCTGGATATCTCAGTTTTCAGTTAATTCCCTTTAGTAACTCAACTCTCTAAGTTTTTTGTTCACCAGGTATTGAACTCTTTGGGTCAAGTCACTTTTGGATTACTTCTAGCAACGCTTTTATCCACTGGGCCATAAACGGTTCGGTTCGAAATTCCAATGTATATCACCTGAAGAAGGTCGAAGTGTACAGTGGCTGAAACGTCGTGAATCTGACAATAAATATAAGGACAAAGTCCGAACAATGTAAATAGTATAAATAGTTACAATAACTCATCTCGGAAATATAGACAGAAGAAAAAGACACCATTAATCAAGAAATATGTTCTGTAAATCAGAAGCGTTATGATTTAAATATAACAAAACCTTCTGCTGCATTTAACAGATATTTATTCAGTTTACTTCGCCTGCCACAGTTCCAAATAGGAAGATTCTGTGTACTTAACCTTCAAGTGGAGAAAGCCTGCTTGCTTTGTTTAAAAAAAAGGAGAAAAGAAAGAAAACAGCTACGGGAATCTTGGTTTTTGACTGTGCTCGAACACTAACTGCCAGCAAAAGAGAAACAGCAACACTCTCAACTACAAAACAAGTCGCCATTACATAAATCGCTCTCTTCAACGATATTTAAATTAGTAACGTTATGTTGCGGTATAAAAAACCTAATAGCCAAGAGGGTCAAATATTTGTTATTTTTTAAATGTTGCTCGTAATCAAAACTACAATCCTAAAATAAGAATATGATGTAAGAAAAGAAAAAAAAATGTTTCACGCAAAGGGAGAATTCGTTAAGAAGTTAAAGGGTGACCTTGTAAAAATGCTGAAGGCTTCAAACATTCCAATGTATGGCTTTCTTTAAGGCAGAGGGAATCTGTCCATTCTTTTATGAACAAAGCTCGAATATGCGGCATGATTAAATGATAATGTGCTATTACGTGCAACGTGGTCAGACGTCAGTCTGCGTTATTAACCCTAAAAAGTAAATATCTGTAAACTCTCTGAAATAGGACAAAAACTTTTATTTTTCTAAGTCGGATTAATTTTTTTTTTAAATGCCTAACAAAAAAAGGTGGGAATGCAAATGTAAAGGATGAAGTAAGAAACAACAGGACGAGACTGAAAAAAAAAGAATCAAACAAAGAAAAATCATAAAAACAAAAGAGTAAGAAAACACAAAGAAAATAAGAAAGATATAAAAAAAAGGTAAAGAACAGAGAAACCATAGGAAAAAATAGGCAAAGAAAATAAAAATTTCCAGTTATTAAAGTGAAAGGTGAGATAAAATATTCCTAAAAATAAATTCGAGGCATTTAAAAAGAGATAAAATTTACAGCAAATTATGAGCGAACATCAGGTATAAAAATTGCTTTGAATATAACGAACATAAGAACCAAAGATATTAGAAATATACGTACAGTTGATTCCAATTGATTGAGCGGCTTACAGCCACATCATATTGAAACACTAGTTCCCGTACGATCACTGAAGTTAACCAACGTCAAGCTTGGTTAGTACTTAGACGGGTGACCACTTGGAAATGCCAGTTGCTGTAAGCTTGGATGTGTGGGTGATATAATGGCCCAGAATTTTTAATCGGATTTTTAAGCCGAGTTCTAATTTCATTTGAGTTTGTTATATTTCCTTGCGCGCAAATACTCTTGGTATTCCACCTTTTCTCATTAATTAGTAGGACTTCTATCATTAAAAACACATTATTATCACAAGAAAAAGAAGAAATGCGTACCATATATTTAGATTTCGGCATTAAATAACCCCAGGAGGTTGATATGCCGCTAAACAAAAACTTGTTTAGCGGCATATCAACCTCTATGGGTTATTTAATGCCGAAATCTAAATATGTGGTACGCAATTCACTAAAACAAAGATAGATCAGTTTGTCCAAATAACTGCGTCGATTAAGTGAAGCAAAGTATAAACAGTTTCAATATGTGCATTTACAGTTGCATTATAAACAGTTTCAATAAGTGTATTTCTGTTTGTATTATAAACAGTTTAAATATTTCCAGTTATATTATAAAGTATGAATAGAAAATTACATAAACGATTTTCTCGTTTTGTAAGTTAAAAATATAATCATAAAAATCATATAAATTCAGTAAGTTTTTAGACAATGGATGTTTAGATTCTTTAATTTTTCATTTACATTAAACAACATATTGAACTACTGCAACCTTTAAAGTCTATTGACATTTGAATAATTAATTCACTGTACTCTTCCATAGTCTCTCAAGTGATTGCATATGAATAAGATCCGTTCAGGTATATAGGGAAGATAACGAATTGCCTTCATTACCTTCTTGCATAATCTAACGCTGTAACCATTTAAATGTTTCATTACTTCTGGGTTAGTCAGATGTCTGGAGCTTTCATACACTAAAGGACACATATAATTGCACTTATACCCTAAAAGAGACTGTTACAATAGATTACACAGCAGAAACACTCAGAAACTATTGAGAAAAAAATCAGAAACTATTAAAAAAAATCACTGGTTTATTCCTGCTCGTTTAATTTTGTATAACTTGTAAATTTAAATAAATGAAAGAATTTATTACAAATATATCTGATTTGCTTTTGTTTTTCAAGATTTAGTGTAATTCCAACGCTAGGTTTGTCATTAGCATTATCATAAATTGATAACAAATATTTTGAATGATGACGAACGATTTTTTTCTCCATCATTATTTTCAGTTCTTTGTGCGTACAAAATAGAAAGTTTTGGATAGATGGATTACAACACTGTGACAATTATCACTGTCGACTTCACTCTTTTACTGTCTTTACTTTCGCATATCATAATATGTATAAAAAAAACAGTGGACCTAGAGTAACACTGGTGTTCTATGAGTTCTGTTTAAATTACGTGTGATATGAAGTCGCTTACGAGATTTGCAAATCCGCCAGTGATAATTGTAATATTGAGGCGCTATGAAAAACTCATCAGTTCAGTGTGTTGAAGTGTAATTGTTGAAGGTTCTAATAACAATTCTTTGTATCAAACAAATACAGTGTATTGTGAAAACAATCAAAATACAATAATAGGCTCTAAGGTATTAACTTGTACAAGCTAAAGTTTAACAATGCTGTAAACATAAGAGCTAACGTCGCAAATATAACATCCGGCCACAACATGTAAGTACTATTATAAAGGATATATATTAGAGTGTTTTTGTGTTATTACGTTTTATCAGAAAGGATAACAAAACAAATTTAATTCATTTAAATATTTTTGGACTAAAAAATATAATCACCTTCATTTAATCACTTTTTTATTTCTGAAAGTTCTGCCACTTAATGATCGAAAGAGATGAAAATTAGATGCTAAATCTAGTGATTACGGAATATGTAGAAAACCTCCCATCTAACGATCTTATTTTTTCTTGGATTTCTTTTGTATGGGGTATCCTTTCCTTATCGTACTGAAGAATAATACCTTTTTTGTTTACTTTCGACATAATGCTTTGTTTACCCGATCAAGTTGCTGGCAGTAAACATTTGTAGTGATGACCTATCCACGTTCCTCTAGATCGTAATGGACAACACCTTTCATGTTCCACCAAACACTGAGCAAAGACTTCTGTCGATGGATTTCTGATTTTCCATCATTTGCAACAATGCAAAAAAAAACTGCACATAGTGAAACATTATGTTCGGTTCTCAAGCAAAAGATCTTGAGGAAGTCAAATTCCTTAGAATTGTTAGTGGACAGTTGAAACATGACACGCCAAATTTCGTGTGCTTTGATGTGAATCCGATTCAATAGTGTCCTTAAAAAGTGTGCCGTCTTCCAGAGAGGCGAGGCTTCTCGGATATATCACGATCACCATCCGTGATGGACTGTTAGGGTATTTATTATTTAGTGAAGTTCCCCGATCCTTTTTTGTCGTATTTTATATTTATATATATATATATATATATATAT